AGCGATCCCCCCCCAAGTCATAGCCCTCACTATCTCCCTTCCCTGGCCTTCGCCTCGTTTATCTCCTCTCGCTGCTCGTCGCACTCGCTATTGCTAGTGGGGTCCGCCGTCGAATCGCTATATAGCCCGTCCCGTCGCCTTTCCGTCGCCTTTGCAAACACGTGCACGTTCGCCCTCCCGCAGCACCAGAGTCCACAGCGACGGGCTGCATAGGCGCTGAAGACGGCCGAGGCGGAAACCCAGGAGGGGCCGCCTAACGCGCTGAGCGGCAAGGGGCCACAGTGTCAGCAGCAGTCTGATCACCCCCTTCAGCTGGACAAGAGATGCTGGTGCTGGAGGTGCTGGAGCTGGAGGTGCTGGAGGTGCTAGAGCTAGAGGTGTTGGAGGTACTGGAGCTGGTGGTGCTGGAGGTGCTAGAGCTGTAGGTACTGGAGGTGCTAGAGCTGGAGGTACTGGGAGTTCTGGAGCTGGTGGTACTGGAGGTGCTGGAGGTGCTGGAGTGGCTGATGGTATGGGTACTGCGCCGCACCGACCGTTTTTCTACCCATAGTCACAGTCGCCCTTACCACCGCCTGGCTCGGCACTTCGTCAATTTCTTAGTCTTCTATCTTCCACTGGCCTTACTCCGCCTCTCCTGTGTCCTCCTCCTGACCAGTCACTGCCGCAGTTTCTGCCTCGCTCTCCACTGACTGCTCCGTCTACTTACCCTGCACAAACAGGCTCCCTGGCAGAGCGTCGTGAGCCTGAGTCTCGTCTTGCCTCCCCTGTTTGCACTATCCATCGTGCTCGTCGTCCTCGTCCTCCACCTGTCCCCGGCACGCACACTATGGCACTTCGTCCTTCCTCTGTTCCACAGCGTGTTGCCCTGCCGTCTCCTCCGGCGTCCTCTCTTCCTGACGTTCCTGACCCTGAGTCTGACCTTGCTCGTGCTGCTAGTCCTACTGTCACTCGTCTCCTCGCTACTGTTGTCACTAACCCTTCCTTTGAGTCTACTTCTGCGTTTGCCCTAGTCACTAAGCTAGTCAACTGTGCTGCTACCTGTCGTGTCGACTACGTCGCGAGTCTTGTCACTGAGTCTGAGTCTGACTGTCCTCCGTCCGTCGGGGGTGAGCTTGCCCTTGGCAGTGACGTCTTTGAGGACAGACAATTTGAGCTCGAGTGTCTAGCGGCTGCTTTACCTCATCTTGCTTCCATGCTGCTTTGCCCTTAGGTAGACCCGGATGAACTAGACATCCCTACCCTGCGCTCTTACGCAGAGGCAATCTCGGGTGAGTACTCCTCTTAGTGGCAAACAGCCATGGATGAAGAGATGGCTTCCTAGAAATCCACGGGCACCTACGTCGACAAGGTTCCCCCTCCTGGGGCGAACATAGTCGATGGCATGTGGATCTGCCGGGTGAAGCGGCCGCCAGGTCCTCCGCCTGCCTTCAAGGTGCGTTAAGTTGCACGAGGCTTCAGTCAGCGACAGGGGGTCGACTTCTTCCAGACCTTCTCCCCCACCCCGAAGATGACCACTCTTCAGGTGTTACTGCACGTTGCAGCACAGCGTGACTACGAGCTCCACTCGCTTGACTTCAGCACAGCTTTCTTGCAGGGCAGCCTCCACGAGGAGATCTGGCTGCGCCGCCCACCTGGCTTTACTGGGTCGTTTCCTGGGACAGAGCACGGCGCACCATCACTCTGACTCAGTCACATATTGTGCAGCAGGTCCTTTAGCACTTCGGCTTTCAGTTCTCCTTGCCACAGAGTCACTCGCTCTCAGCTCCACCTTCGGACGAGTCCATAGAGCCGAATGGTCCGTCTCTAGAGCTTGTGGGCTGCCTCATGTATTTGATGATGTGCACACGACCTGACCTCGCGTACCCTCTCAGCATCCTTGCTCGCTTCGTTGCACCCGGGAGACACAGGAAGGAGTATTGGACAGCTGCGCAGAGGGTACTGCGTTACTTGTGCAGTACGTCAGGCATGGGGCTTGTGCTTGGAGGACGGGGTCTAGTTGTACTCACGGGTCACTCCGACACTTCTTGGGCTGACGACCAGGCGACCCAACGCTCGTCACAGGGTTACACTTTCAGTCTCGGCACTGGTTCTGTCTCCTGGAGGTCCACCCACTCGTCTTCTGTACTTAGTTCCTGCTGTGAGGCCGAGATCTATGCTGGGGCTATGGCTGCTCAGGAGTTACGCTGACTGACATACCTGCTGACAGACTTGGGTGAGCGGCCTCGTTCTCCTCCAGTTCTGTACGTCGACAACAAGGCCACTATTGCCTTGTGTCGGGAGCAGAGACTGGAGCACAGAACGAAGCACATTGCTCTACGTTACTTTCTTGCTAGGGAATTGCAGCAGCGTGGTCAGCTCCGCCTTACCTACGTGGCCTCTCGGGCCAACACTGCTGATGTCTTCACCAAGGCTCTTGTGCCTGGTGATCATCAGCGTTTTGTTAGAAACTAGCAGCACGAATGAGCGAACTAAGCAGCATGCAGGAGTACAAGTAGTAAACCCTAATTGGGTTGTACCCCATGTGGGCTACCCCACTACAGCCTACACAATATAGTTTGACACACCCCCATAGGCAAAGTGGGGGAGAGCAAGGGGTCACAAGACCAGTCTAGAGAAGCAAAGCAAGCTCAGGGTGGATCACAACGTCACCACACACTCTGAGCACAAGCAAAGGGCCACAAGGCCAGTTCACATGCAGAAGTATATATGCAACAAGAACAGCACAGTGATCTCTACCTAGCAAGAGCAAGCATGCAGGTATATATATATATAGATCACAGTACAAGCAGAGTCTACAGCAAGTGTGGAAACGTAGGCACAAGGCCTAACAGGGTACAAAAGCGCTGATGATCACCAGACGAAAGCGCCTTGGTGAATATATCAGCAGTGTTGGCCCGGGTGGCCACGTGAGCAAGGCGAAGCTGACCCCGCTGCTGCAACTCTCGAGCCAGGAAGTAACGCAGAGCGATGTGCTTCGTTCTGTGCTCCAGTCTGTGCTCCTCGCACAAGGCAATGGCGGCCTTGTTGTCGACGTACAGCACTGGAGGAGAACGAGGCCGCTCTCCCAGGTCAGTCAGCAGGTAAGTGAGCCAACGTAACTCCTGTGCAGCCATGGCTGTGGCGTAGATCTCAGCCTCACAACTGGAGCTGAGAACAGAAGACGAGCGAGTAGAACGCCAAGAAACAGAACCGGAGCCAAGGCTGAAAGTGTAACCCTGTGACGACCGCTGTGTAGCCTGGTCGTCAACCCAAGAAGCGTCCGAGTGCCCAGTGAGAACCACGTCTCTCCGCCCTCCAAGCACGAGCCCCATGCCCGATGTACTGCACAAGTAGCGCAGTACCCTCTTCGCAGCATCCCAGTGCACCTTTCGGTGTCGACCAGGAGCCACGTAGCGGGCCAGAAGGCCAAGAGGGTACGCAAGGTCAGGACGAGTGCAGGTCATCAGGTACATGAGGCAGCCCACTAGCTCTAGGTAAGGACCACTCGGCTCTACGGACTCGTCCGAAGGTGGAGCTGAGAGCGAGTGACCGGTAGCCAGAGGAGTGGACTGTGGCGAGGACCAGGTGAAGTCGAAGCGCTGAAGGACCTGCTGCACCATGTGTGACTGAGTCAGTGTGATGGTGCGGCGTGCTCTGTCCCGGGTGATATGCAAGCCAAGGTAGCTGCGCAGCTCACCCAAGTCTGTGCACGTATGTCTCTTCTGCAGCTCCGACTTCACCAGGGCGAGAGCCTCAGTGTCAGCAGTGGCAAAGACTAAGTCGTCGACGTACACTAGGATGTAGAACGGCGGCAGCGAAGTGTCGGTGCGCAAAAACAGCGACGGGTCAGCAGTCGAAGGAGCAAACCGAAGAGCCGCAAATGTAGTCCTAAGTGTGTCGTGCCACTCACGAGGCGCCTGGCGGAGACCGTAGACTGGCCGCCGGAGGCTCCACTGGGTACCAGGTGGGAACGACCCAGTGAAGCCAGGTGGGCGGCACAGCCAGATCTCCTCGTGCAGGCTGCCCTGTAGGAAAGCTCTGCTGAAGTCAAGAGAGTGAAGCTCGTAGTCACGCTGAGCGGCAACGTGCAGCAGCACCCGAAGAGTAGTCATCTTTGGGGTAGGGGAGAAGGTCTGGAAGAAGTCAACTCCCTCTCGCTGACTGAAGCCTCGAGCAACGTAACGCGCCTTGAAGACAGGCGGAGAACCTGGCGGCCGCTTCACCCTGAAAATCCACATGCCATCGACGATGTTCGCCCCGGGAGGGGGAACCTCATCGACGTAAGTGCCTGTGGACTTCCAGGATGCCATCTCTGCGTCCATGGCTGCCTGCCACTGAGAGGAGTAGGGACCCGCGATCGCCTCAGCGTAAGAGCGCGGTGTGGGGATGTCTATAGCATCCGGGTCTCCCTCAGGGGCAAGCAGCATGGCCACGAGATGAGGCGCAGCGGCTGCAAGACACTCAAGGTCCTCGTGCCTATCCTCAAGGACGTCCGTGCCAAGAGCACACGCACCCCCGACGGACGGAGGACAGACAGACTCAGACTCAGCAACAAGACTAGCAGCGTAGTCTAGACGACAGGCAGCAGCAAAGTCGACAAGCTCAGCGACCAAGGCAGACGCAGCAGCAGACTCAAACGACGGGTCAGTGACAACAGTGGCTAACAGACGCGTGACTGTAGGGTGCTCAGTACGAAACCGGTCAGACTCAGGGTCCGCAACGTCAGGCAGAGAGGACGCAGGAGGAGACGGCAGAGGAACAGACTGCGGAGCAGAGAAAGGACGACGGACGACGAGGTGCGCGCCTAGGACAGCCGGCGAACGCGGACGAGGAACACGACGACTGGTACGACCAGAACGAACAGGCGAGACAGGACGCGACGCAGGCTCACGATGCTCAGCAAGACCTCCTGCCTGCTCAGTGTAAGGGGAAGGAGCAGGCAGCGGTGAGCCAGGCTGTAACGAAAGACCAGTAGAAGACGGGAGGCTGAGAACCTGACGAAGTACAGTGTCAGGCGGTGGCTAAGACGGCGGAGAAGGTGGAGCGAAGAACAGTCGCGGGGGTGCAGTGCCACCAGCACCAGCAGCTCCAGTACCTCCAGCAGCTCCAGAACTCCCAGCGCCAGCACCTCCAGGACCAGCTCCACCAGCAGCAGCACCCCCAGACCCAGGGTCTCCAGCCTCAGTGTCTCCAGCAGTAGCACCCGCAGGCTCAGCACCTCCAGCCCCAGCAGCTCCAGGGCCTCCAGTACGAGCACCTCCGGGACCAGCAACTCCAGCACCTCCAGTAGACAAAGGACCAGTACCACTCCCAGCTCCAGCAACGTCAGCAGCAGCACCTCCAGCGGCAGAACTCCGAGCTCCAGAAGCGCGACCCTGACGGCGACCGTACCAGTCATGCAGCTGCTGTGAGGTGAGAGGCACACGTGGACGAAGGCGGCTACTCCAAGGAGACCGCGCAACAGCAGACTCAGAACCCTCAGCGCCAGCACCCGCAGCAGCTCCAGAACCTCCAGCGCCAGCACCCTCAGCAGCTCCAGAACCTCCAGCTCCAGCGCCTCCAGCACCAGCACCAGCTCCAGAACCTCCAGCGCCAGCACCCTCAGCAGCTCCAGCACCTCCAGCAGCCCCAGAACCTCCAACGTCAGCACCGGCAGCAGCTCCAGAACCTCCAGCAGAAACAACTCCAGTAGCAGAGTCACAAGCTCCAGCGCCGCCCCTAGCTCCAGCAGCGCGACCCTGACGGCCAACGTACCACTCACGCAGCTGCTGTGGGGAGAGAGGGAGTAGACGACGAGAGTGCAGCGGCGAGACACCAGCGGAGCGACTACTTAGACGGCCGCTCCAGGGAGACTGCTCACCAGACGCCTCAGCGCCCCCAGGTGCAGCACCCCTAGACTCAGTACCCCCAAGCTCAGCACCCCCAGACTCCTCACACTCAGGCTCAGCACCTCCAGGCTCCGCACCCTCAGGCTCCGCACCCCCAGGCTTAGCACCCCCAGGCTCAGCACCCCCAGGCTTAGCACCCCCAGGCTCAGCACCCCCAGAAGTAGCACCCCGAGCAGGACCACCCTCAGCAGGACCTGAGTCACCAGTGACCTCAACCGGCGCAATCAAGGGAGGAGGGTCTACTTGAGACACACCTGAAGGAGCAGGACCGGGAGCGGGGAGGGGGTCTACCTGGGGAGCACCTGGAGCGAGGAAGAGCGGCGGGGGGGGGAGAGGGGCAGTGCGGTAGGGGAAGAGACGGTAAAAGGGAACCGACTCGTCGAACGTGACGTCCTGAGAGGGGAAGACACGGCGCAAGGTGGGGTGGTAAAACTGCCAACCAGGCGCGTCAGGGACAAAGCCAAGGAAGACACAGGGAACAGCGCGGGCGGAGAGCTTGTTCGCGGTGGTATCGCGGACAAAGGCACGAGCACCCCAGACCCGGAAACGCGACGCATCGCCAACCTTCCCCGTCCACAGCAGTGTGGGCGAGGTCTCCGGCAAGGAGACACGGGGCCAGAGGTTGAGCTGATGCGCGGCGTACCTGACCGCAAACGGCCACAGAAAATGGGGGGCAGCCGCATGGATCATGGAAGTACGAGCGACCTCCATGACTAAGCCAATGCGGCGCTCAGCAACCCCATTCTGCTGCGGAGAGGCCGGAAGCGTGAACGTCTGGCGGATGTCGTGCTCCGCACAGAAGGCTGCCAAGAGGTCTGAGGAGAACTCACCACCTCTGTCAGAGTGCAGATGCAGGACGGGAAAATCCGTCCCGAACTGCTCGCGGAGCTAAAGACGGGCAGCGCGGATCCAAGGGATCAAAACATCAGGGACCTCCCCCTTGCGCTGCAAGGGGAAGACCGTGGTGTAACGCGTGTAGTCGTCGACGACCAGCAGGAAGTACCGCTCGTGGCCCTGTCCACGGACGGGGGCTGGGCCCCACACGTCCAGGTGGAGAGTCTGCAGGGGAGCCTCTGTGGGAGGGAACGAGGAGGAATGAGGAGCGGCGCGCTGCCGCCCCTCGACACAGGGAAGACAGGGAGGAGCAGGCGAGGGTGGGAGGGGAGGGAGAACCCTGGGAAGACCAGAGACAAGGACACGGCGGTGCATGCTACGAAGGCGCTGCACCGAGGGGTGACCAAGGTGGTGGTGCCAAAGGAGGGTCTGGTGCGACAAAGCGCGACACGAGCAGGGGGCCGCTAGCTGACCTGATGCAGACGCAGACGCAGCTACCTGAGGGGACTCAGTGGTCAGTGTGTACAGACTCGAGCCAGGTGCACGGGTAAACGTGGCCAGGTGTCGGCCCGTCCGAGCACACGTACAGTGAGTCACTCGCTGACTCGCAGGAGTGAACTGGTCAACCCCGCCATCCTGGAGGTCAGCTCCACTCACCAAGTTCGTAGAGAACGAGGGGAGGTAGAGACCGGACAGCGAGCCAGACGGGGCGGCCGGACATGGCAGAACCGTGGAGTAGTGGGCAAGGACCGGACCCCCAGAGGGGTCCGCCAGGGAGACTGCAACTGGCCGACTAAGCGGCGTGAGTGTGGTGCAGTCGCGAAAGAAGGAGCGGGAAGCTCCTGAGTCAAGGGTGAAGGTGTGCAAGACCGCAGCAGGCGCAGTACCAGAGAGAGCAGACTCACCAACACCTGAAGCAGCAGCCTCACCAGCACCTAGAGCAGGAGACGCACTAGCACCTAGAGCAGCAGCCTCACCAGCACCTAGATCAGAGGACTCACGAGCACCTAGAGCAGCAGCCTCACCAGCACCTAGAGCAGCAGGGTCTATACCTGGGTCAGGCGGTACGCACAGGTAACAGGCACCGTCAGTACTAGTAGGCAATGCATACATGGCAATGAGAATAGCATCATAGTCAAGAGCAAAGATATCTACCCCCTGCGTAAGCAGGTCCAGCCACGTGGGGAGCTCAGCCTCGTCGCCAAACTCGGTACGCCAGGCGTCGCTCAGACGGGCGAAGCAGCGGGACTGTGTGTGACCAAGCGTCCCGCAAGTCTCGCCAGCCCGATCACCTGTGCGAATGACGTACGGGCAGCGAACGGCACTCCACGACCCTCTACTCTGAGCGTACCACTCGTGAAGCTGCTGGGACGTAAGTGTCTCGCGTGGACGCCGCTGCAGCTGCAGCTGGCCATTGCCAGACGCTCCCTGTCAGAATGTTATATTGTTTGTGTAGCCTGCAGTGGGGTACTCTATAGCGAGTACAGCCCAATCTAGGGTTTGCTATTTGTACTCAACTGCCTGCTAGTTCAAACCCTCTTTCTGTTCCTAACTTCTGCCTAACTTGTTTCGACATGCTATCAGAGCAGGTCGACCCCCTTGGGTCGATCCTGTGGGTGGGCCCACCACCTAACTGCTTCCGCTGCTGTTATGCTTCTCGCGCGCCTCGGGCGTGCGTCGTCTTCTTCCTCCCGCCGTGCGCTCGGGGCGCGCGGCGGTTTTCTGCCCGCCGTGCGCCCCGAGGCGCACGGTGGTTTCCTATCGTGGGGGACCCGCGCGCGCCCCCGCCCTGTCCGTCGCGTCACCCTAGGGGACCCGCGCGCTGCCCCCGCTGCCCCGTCGGTGGTCGCGTCGCCCCGCCACCCCGTCGCGCCGCCCTGGGGAGCCGCGCGCGACCCCCCGCTGCCCCGTCGACAGTCGCGTCGACCAGCTGGAGCCGCGCGCGGCTCCCGATTCCCCGTCGCGCCGCCCTGGGGAGCCGCGCGCGACCCCCCGCTGCCCCTTCGCGGCGCCCTGGGGAGCCGCGCGCGGCCCCTCGCTGCCCCGTGGTGGCGCCCTGGGGGCCGCGCGCCGTCCCCCTCGCCGTCCCCCGCGCTCCTTCCCCCGTTCCGCCCGTTTTAGGGTTTGGGGGTGGGGAGTGTGGGGGTGGCGGTTGTGGGGGTGCCGGTTGTGTGCCCCGTCCCCTCCTCCTCCTCCTCCTTCGTCTCCCGCTGCTGCAGCTGCCGCTCAGGGGGGTGGTTGTGTGGGGAGCCGAAGGAGTGGTGCTAGGGGGGTGAAGGGGGAGTGGAGCTAGGGGCGCAGCAGGGGGTGTGTGTCGAGGGGTGTGGGACTGTTGGGGGAGATTGAGTGGAGGTTGCCGTCGTGTCGTCCGCAGCGCCTGTATTCCGGGGTTCTGATAGCCACCGGTAGCTCAGAGAGCCGGTTGCACCTGTCGCCCGTGGGTCCGTTGCTCCTGTCGCTGCTGATCAGACGCAGAGCCAGTTACTCCTGTATTCCGGGGCACTTGCTCCCGGTAGCCACTAGCGTTGCACCAGAGCCGTCTGTTGCCCGTGTGTCTGCAGCTTCAGTCGTCGCCTCCCATCTACTCTCCTCTCGCCAGCCCTCCTCCTCCTCACTTGCCCTCAGTGACTGCCTCTACCTTTGCTCATAATTTATGAACTATTGCTATTGTGACTGCTTGTTGTGCTGATTACACCCCACTTTGGCTATGGGGGTGTGTCAGAATGTTATATTGTCTAGCCTGCAGTGGGGTACTCTATAGCGAGTACAGCCCAATCTAGGGTTTGCTATTTGTACTCAACTGCCTGCTAGTTCAAACCCCCTTTCTATTCCTAACTTCTGCCTAACTTGTTTCGACACTCCCAACTGACCAGCTCCAGGGCGACAGCTACGACGGCTACCGCCACAACCCCAACTAGCGTACCACTCACGAAGCTGCTGGGGCGTGAGAGACTCGCGTGAACGTCGCTAGAGCTGCATCTGGCCACCGCCAATAGTAGCAGTAGCAGGAGTAGCAGCAGCAGCAGCAGCAGCAGTAGTAAGAAAAGGAGCAGCAGTAGCAGCAGTAGCAGCGCAGGCAGGCAGGCAGGCAGGCAGGTAGGCAGGCAGGCAGGCAGGCAGGAAGGCAGGCAGGTGCTCACCAGTGGCGGGAAGGGCAGGCGCACGACGGCGGCGACGGCGGGGCCGCGACAGCTGCGGCAGAGCAGGGTTGCGTGGCTGCTACAGGGCAGGGCCGCGACGGCGGCAGAAGGCTCCGTGGCAGCTGCTGCAGGGCGGGGCGGCAACGGTGGTAGAAGCCTCCGCGGCAGCTGCTGCAAGGCGGGACCGCGACCGCGGCAGGAGGCTCCACGGCAGCTGCTGTAGGGGCGACGGCGGCAGTCAGGCAGGGGCAGCCGCGGCGCGCGGGGACGGTAGCCACGGCGCACAGGGCTGCAGCGCGACGCGCGGGCAGCAGACGCGACGCGCGGGGCTGCAGCGCGACGCGCGGGCAGCGGACGCGACGCGCGGGGCTGCAGCGCGCTACGCGAGCTGCGGGCGCGGCGCGCGAAGCCGCAGCGGGCTGCGCGGGGACGGCAGCCGCGGCGCGCGGGGCTGCAGCGCGACGCGCGGGCAGCGGACGCGACGCGCGGGGCTGCAGCGCGACGCGCGGGCTGCAGCAGAGCGCGACGCGCGGGGCTGCAGAGCGACGCGCGGGCAGCGGGCGCGACGCGCGGGGCGGCTAGCGGGCCTAACGGGCCTGCAGGGGCGGCGCGCGGGCCTTACGAGGCTGCAGGGGCGGCACGCGGGCCTTACGGACCTCCAGGGGCAGCGCGCTGGCCTAGGGCAGCAGGAGGCAGCGCTAGGGCTGCAGGACGGCGCGCGCAGCGCAGCACGTCACAAGGCAAGGCAAGGCAGGCAGGCAACACGTGGGGTAGCGTGGTAACCGCAACAGAAGGTGGGCCCGAAAAAAACGGTCCTACGGACCAAGTGCTCTGAAACCATGTTAGAATCTAGCAGCACAAATGAATGAACTAGCAGCATGCAGGAGTACAAGTAGTAAACCCTAATTGGGTTGTACCCCATGTGGGCTACCCCACTACAGCCTACACAATATAGTTTGACACGTTTCTACACTGCTTTAGGCCTTGTGCCTACTCTGCCTCACCTGTTGGTTGCTTGACTTGTCTTGTACTGTGATGTATATATAAATATAAATGCTGCATGCTTGCTCTTGCTAGGTTGTGATCACTTTACTACTTGTGCTTTTAGAACTCTACATATGAACTGGTCTTGTGGCCGCTTGCTTAGAATGCGTGGTGATCTTGAGATCCACCCTGAGCTTTGCTTTGCTTGGCTTCTTCGCTTGACTGGTCTTGTGACCGTTGGTTGTGTTTGCTATCCCCCACTTTGCCTGGGTGTGTCAAAACATGAAATTTTTCGAAAGTGTGTAACACTTTCTAAAAATGCGTATTGTGAAAGCGCAGCTGCCTGTAACGAAGCAAAGCAACGGCGAATTACAATTCGCCGAGTACATAACGAGGGTTGGAGGCCATTCGGCCTCCACCCACGACTTCATTTCAGAACTTTGCAGTTTCACTCCCCACCCACCCACCCTAGTTGTACCAATATTTGTATGATCCATAGTTGGACGAGAATGTTGTATTACTGCAACATGTTGTATTTACTTAGGCTGTAGTGGGTTTAGCCTTAGGGGGTACAAGATTACTCTCGACATTGTACTTGTACTCCCCTCATGACCTATTGCCATCACCCTATTCCTACTTTCCTATTCTAACACCCTTCCCTTCCCTCGCCTTCTCTTCCCTTCCCTTCCCGTTGCCTTCCCTTCCCTTCCCGTCGCCTTCCCTTCCTGGCCCGTCGCCTTCCCTTTCCTTCCC